TTTTTTGTTTTCCAATATTTTTCTTTGATATTAGATATCCTAACAGTGACTCTTTTGCAAATGCAAAATATGTAATTTGTTTTAGAATCAAAAAAGGCAGTCTCGAGATTTTCGTATTTAAAAATTTGAAGCGGTGTTTTCAATGGCCGAATGGTTAGTGCGTCGGATTGTCACGCGGGCGATCTGGGTTCGCTCCCGCGAATGTCCGATTTTTTTAAATCACTTTTTCTGCTAGATTTTTCGTTTTTTACTTCAGAATCTGACGGAAGACCCCTCGTTGCTCGCAACGAGATCGTATCTAGTTATTATTATTTTTCTTCTTCTTCTTCTTCTTCTTCCTGGGTACTTTTTTGTCCGGGAGTGATCTTGTAAACTACACATCCGACTTAGGTAAAACCTTTTTAGGGTCAGTAGGCATGTTATGTAGATTTGCGGAACAAAGGTTATTTTGCGCGCACGTGCTTGCAAGAGCGTGCACGTGCAACGCGTGAAATGACCAATATAATAGATATAGCCGTAACTTTTCTATTTTTGGATGAAATGCTTTGAAACTCATAATGTGATGATATATTAGTAGCATAGACAATATGACATGGTCAAAATAGCAAGATCTCACGCGCATGCACGTGCACTTCACTCTGATTGGCTGAAACTAAAGTCTCAATATCTTTCTTGATTTTTGACGAAATCCTTTGAAATTTTGAACATAGCCATGCATTAGGATATCCTACAACATGATATATAGCAATTATCATGAAAGCACGTGCATGCACGTGTGCTGCAATCTGATTGGCTTAAACTTTAAATAGCTATAACTCCCTTGATTTTCAACCAAACATGATGGGATTTGGAACATAGATAGATATAATGGATTTCTACAAGACGGTATGGTCACCATGTACATGCATACACGTGCGTGTACGTGCGCTGCAATCTGATTGGCTGAAACTTTGAACAGCTATAACTCCCTTGGTTTTTAACCAAACGGGGTGGGATTTAGAACATAGATAGATGAAATGGACTTCTAGAAGAAGGTATGGTCACCATGCTCATGTATGCACGTGCGTGCACGTGAAATGAGTAAATTCAAAAATACATTTGAATGAGCGTATTTTTTAAAAATATTTTTGGGTTTAATACATTAATATTTAGTGTATTAAAATATATAGATTGTGTTGACAAGATGATATGGTCATTACGCACATGCATTCACATGCGCACGCGTGCAATGCTAAAGTTTTAATGAATTTGATACACTTCTGGGTAAACGTTGTTAAAATCTCAAATGCATGGAGTTTGTCTTATTTAATGAAGCTTACAGGGAATATGGCACCAAAAGGGAGTTGGGGAGCGTTTGGGGAACATCTGTAACGGTCCCCGTTACAATTAGCACTAGTTTACTTTGCATTACCTGTCATGTAAACACAGTTTATTTTGCATTAGTTTGATATTCGCATTAGTTTATTCGCGATAATTTACTGCGAATTAAGGTAGGACACAATAGATAGGCCAAATTTTTCCTCAAATTCAATTTTTCTGAAACTTTGATAATTTGTTCTAAGATATAAAATCTCTCTGAATATATAATATGAAAGAAATTCAACCACACATATTTTGCCTACAATGTCAGACCCCGGTAAGAAGATTGTGAAATCAGACACTCGACTTGAGAATGAGCCTTATTTTAGAATTATCAATTGATCTATTGCAAGTTTGTGTTATAATTTTGATAAAGATAACCTTTTTGTTATTTTAACTTAGTAAGTCATACCGTAAATCTGGAAATTTTTGCCGTAGATTAATTTTTAGAAAATTTGCGCGTTCATTGCATTCGCAAAAATATTTTTCTTAAAAATAAATCACCAGTAAGAAAATGTAAACAAAGCAGAGGTAATTCGCAAAATTTTGATACGTAAAAATTAATCAATACCATTTTGACCCGAATTCGCAAAATAAAAAATTCCAGATTTACGGTATTGATACTGGACAATTTGAAAAAAATATTAAGTAAATATAGAACATGCACAGCGTCGGAATTGAACATTCACAAGTAAATATCCTACACTTAAAGTTTTCTAAAGAAAAAATGTATAATTCAATTTTTGCAAAAAATTAACCGAGTGATTAAAATGGGTCCCAGAATAAATGTGTAAAAATAAAGAAAATTGAACCGGTAGTTTCTGATATTTTGGCGATTAAAAAAATTTAAATGGCTAAAACAATAAAAGATTCAGTAGATGACGTCACAATATTTCACCTTTGACCTCTGATATGACCTTTACCTTTATAGTATGTTGAAATATCAGCCCTCTACTATTTATTGAACAAAAGTTAAACTGCATATCATATCAAAATGTTACATGCTTGTTTATTGCACTAGATAGCGTAAACACATTTAAAAATGTAAACTCCCAAGAGACCAACATATAGAATTATCTTATTTTTTCACAAAATATGACCCAATCATGCCAAAACATGTTATTTTTTCTTACAGGGGCCATTCATTGTTGTCATTGTTGTAATATTAATCCTTTTTTCTCCAGTATTTTTTAAGAAATTAGTAAAAATAGAATCCAGGGGTGTTTTGTACTACCTTAAACTCTCCGTGTGAACAGGGTACTAGACTTTGAAGTCACAGTGTAAGTTAGGCCTACATTACCAGTCTAAAGAGTTTCCCAAAAAGAAACTCACCTTGATTTAATGGATAAATTACAGATAAATAGTGAAAATAAACATTCTTTATTCAAGTCAGCACTATGCGATAGTGTTTTGTGACTTCATTAGTGCATTGTTCCTAATGTGCTGTAACACCTTTACAAACGGTCTTATCCTGACACATAAAAAATCATAACCAGATACCACCTTTCTGACGGATTAGTCGGTTAACAACTGTTAACCATTACCATTCCTAATAAGTTTTGACATGAACAAGTAATGTGTATTTCCTTTATTCGAAATCAGAAAAAACTAATATGCTTTTTTATTACATCATCAAATGACTGCCTGTAAACCTATATTCATAAATAATTATGGAGTAGTTTTACAAATAATACACATGCAGAAAGTGTGATAGTATCTTTGAACTCAGTTTGATGGTTTATCTAATCTTATAAGTTGAATTAAAAAAAAAATTCAATAAAAAATTTCAATTTCTTTTTGATAGGTGTGACATCTTAGTACTAAAATTTGATGCCAAGCATGACCATGATTTGCAAGAAGACTGAGAAGAGCATCTGTTTGAATATGACAAAGAATAAACAGCATAATGAAATTGAAACTGTCAAGTCTCAGTTTAAGAAGATGACTTTAAATATATCATATTAAATTTTGATTTGAGAAACAGACATAAATCCACAAATATTAATATATACTGACACGCAAAAGAAACGCAAGACCCTACTTTAGAGGGAAATAATTATGTAAAGTTAAGAAATTTGTATCTTAAATCTTAAGTTTGTGTCTGCTTAACAGAAATCAAAAATTGCATGTCTAACAAAACATTTGGTTATATTGTGGAGTTTTAAGGGTTTGTACTGTTCATCTTCAGTAATGCAACATTATTTCATAAAATAAAATCTCCTTTCGTTTCCCATAACGATGCTAAGGCTTCTCGAAACTGGCTTAAGTACGCATTTCCATTGGTCTTACTGGAAAATTTCAACGTAAAGGTGATGGAGAGTTGATGATGCAAAAATATACTGCATTACGCCTCAACGGAGTCTTATGTATTATATGCATAAATAATAGTCCTTGGACCAGAAGTTCAAGGTTTACTACAATGCGCTAAGTTAGAGCAATTCGACCTAATCATCTGAAAAACAGGCATTTAAAAATGGCAAAGAATAATTTCTTCGCTCAGATATCGATATTGATTAACCAACTGTATCATAAAAATTTAGCTGCAATTGTTGTTAAGGTCAGCCTTGCACGTTGTAATTGAATGGCTGGGAGGGGGGTGTTATAACAGTCATATGTTTACTTAGTAAAGTTAAAAGGTATACATTTAACATTTTTATCAATCTCTGATGTTCTCAAAAGTGAGTTTAGTTGTTTTTTTTTAAATCATTAGATAAAAAATTCAAACATTTGTAGATTACTGCTAGTTGCGTTTCTTTTGCGTGTCAGTATATCAATTGCCTTTACTTTTTCAAGAGAAATAGATTTTGCTACAGAATCTATGTTTAGTTTGAAATAAATGTTCTTGTTAAATGTGTGTCAGATCTTGCATGTTTACATCTGTATTGAGGTCTTACATTTCCAAGAGAAGACATACCAATTCTAATGGTGAAGATGATAAAGGTCTGTCTTCAACAGTAATATTTAAGATCTAATATGTGTATTTTTACATGCTGTTGGAGTGATTACTGTTGGATTATTTATCCTCGTCCTCATTCCTCATTCAGACTTTAAGAGAGGGTTTGCTAATTTGGTCAAAGAAATAAAGAATGGTAGCAAAGTTGACAATTGAAACATTTCACTTTCTGCTCACCGCTAAGAAGGAAGACCCATTCGTTGCTTTTCAACGAGCTTTGCTCTAGTTAGTATTATTATTTCAAATTAATTAGACTTAATTAGAGTTATTGTTTTTTCCTGTAATCGTTCAATGACGCATCATTTCAACTACACTACAAAGCGTTATGCTTTGCTTTTTAGGTTTTTTTTTTTATGAGACTAATATGTACTTCACAGCATGAAGATTAACACATCTTACCTAGCTGTCACTACCCATCATAAGTATTGACCAGACGATATTTTGTTTACGAGGCTTGTTTGATATTGAACGTTCGTATACGGATTGTTTCGGGCATACTCATAAGAATAAAACAATCTCAGTTTTGAAGACATGTAAAATTCCAAAATACTGAACGCTAATATTCTCTAGATATTTAGTAGATTTTCATTATAGATTATTTAAAAGCTATGTAATAATATGCATTGTTCAAGTCTTTCTATACATCATATACATCAGTTTCTAAAAAAAGATATTCATTCTATTATAGACCAGTGTCATACCGATGTGTAAATAATCATTCGCACAGCTCATTTCGGGAAGTGGAAAACTGCAATGATACAATGTAAGTAATATAATTATCTTAATTCTCCATGATTCTACCATCAGTACCAAACATCATAATACCACTGAACGTCGACTTCGATTCTGACATATGGAATATTATAATGTTTGTTCATATACTGGTTGCTTGAAACAGGGAATTCCTTCTAAACAATTCGAATTTTATTCTACAAACATCATTAGTTTTAAAAGTGAAGATATTTAAGATTCCTTCATACCATCTGACCTGTGACGTATACAGCTCAACGTACTTATAAACTCACATGGTTTTTCGCACAAAATAAGGTCACATTCTTATAATGCAAAATTATAATTTAAAAGGGATTTATAACCTAAGGTTTATCTAATTCTATTACTTGATACATAATAAATGGGAAAATTTTCATATTCTCTAGAGTGGTAGAATATGGTAGTTCCAAAGTATTTTTTTCATTTTTTTTCAGCCGTTTATGTATCAATTCATTTTAAACCAAACATTTGCTGATGCTTAATTCAGTTCATATAAATCTATATTCTCTGTACATGAAGGATGGATATGGAGATAACAAACAGTATTCCATTTCAAAGTCCATAAAACAATACAAAATAGTAGCAGAGCAAACACGGACCTTCGAAACATCAGAGGGGGGATCAGGTGCCATGGAGGATTCAGCATCCCCTGCTCATCGGTCACACCAACCGGGTGCTTCTTGTCATGATCGAGAAATATCGGAAAAATCCGTGGTCAATTAGGTGTATGAATAGTGGACTAACAATTAGTAAGAAAAACTTCAGTCAGCATTTGACTCAATGATATATTGTATTTGCTGACGAGGTCATTGTATCGACCATAGATCTTACGAAGTGATGATTTTAAACGAGATTGCTGATAGTTTTATTTCATCAACTTGCTTGTCAATAATTTACATCGTTTTAGAAATTGTTCATACGTAGAGCATGATCTTGCGTATCGAATTAATTGAGATATATATACTCCGTATGCAGATGATGGTGGTACTTGTATATTACAGCTTAATTTAGGGAAGTCAACCCTTTACCATATAGTCAATAGAGTCTGTGTTGCAAGCTGAAAATATTGCATATGAATTTACGTGCATATAAATATTTAAAAAATAGTGTGCGTTTTTAATTTTCCTCTTTTATATCTGTACAGTGTAGTAGCAAATAATGGGTAATCAGAGTATCGTGACGTATACAAGGACTTCCCAAAGAATCTGAGTCCCACATAGGAATAATAATTCAAAAAATGATCTTTGATACCAAAGACTTTAAAACTATTTTTTCTACATCAGTGCACTAAATGTTAATTCAATTTCTTGATGCAATCTAATTCATTGATGTATCATCTATACAAAAGAAGTCTTTTTATAATTTATTTTCTTGATGTATTATAGAAATAATGGGTTTTTTTTTTTTAATAAATTAAGTACTTTTTTCTAAAAAAAAATTGTTGATCGATAAATTTTGTTTTTATGGTTATCCTTTGAGCATAAAAATATACGATAGGTAAGACAAAATTTGCTTTGCTATGTATGAAAACGTCATGTGAAAATCATATTGAAACCTTTAAAATTATTATTTTAAAAATCATTATGAATTATATTTCAATTTCTGGCCGGATTATAAAGGTTGATATGCTCGTTATAGTAATGCTTAGTAATATTAGAAGATAACCTCTACCAGAGCTGAGGACCCTTAAACTTATGAAGTTCTTTTAAGTAAAATATCTTTCTATAAGATTAAAAATTATTTAAAATTTATTAAAGATGTACATGTAGTTCATTTATGGCCCGGAAAGTGATTCGAAAAGATAGACTCTACTTTAAATATTTTAACCCATCTTTTGTCATGCTTATAGGGAAAATATAAAAAAATTCTGGGAAAAGGTGGCCAAAACTGACCCTTTTTGGTTGCTTTTTACATGTAGGACATGATAAACAATTTCTCTGATATTATACGCAATTGCATATGTACAAGAACACTATATTTGTGCTTTAGTACAAGAACAAAAAATGTTTTGCATATTTTAAGTTTGTCTTGGAGTAAATATGGTTGTTTTAATATTCCAACATTTTTAGGATTAATTAAGGAGGCCGAGTCTAATTCCAGTGCGCATGACTTTTGGCAGCTTTTTAATTTCATGTAGTCATTTATGTGACCGTACACCTTTGTCAAATATTTTGATTTTAATACAAAATAAACATTATCTGTAACCCCTACTGATCTGAAAATATGATTTTACGTCAATAATTATGAAAAATAATACGCTGCAATGGCTCTATTGATGTCACCATTTTCGGAATTTGTAAGCAATGCATGACGCTGAAGAATGACGCATGACTCGTTTTATGTTTAAGACGTCCTTGAATATTATACTTAAAACTAATGACAGAATATTCAAAGAAACATACCAGCAATTTTAAAATAACTATGTTTTACCGCAGTAATCATATGCGCCGATAATTCATCTGCAGTGATATTTATTTATACCGTGATATGGCAATTTTAGAGGTATTGGGCTTTGAAAAAATAAACTTTGTAGTTATACCCAGACCTACCTAGATGGTGAACGTTTTTGAAATTTCGCAATTTAGTGACTTTTTTCTATAACTTTCATCTATTTAAATGAAAAAAAATCTCTAGGGCAGAAATACAAAAATATGGGGAAAATGTATTAAAAAAAAATCGGTGCTTTTCCAACAAATTCCCATAGGGTCCAATCGTAAAATTTGATAACTTTTGAGACGACCCCTGAACAAATCAGGATGGTGAACATACGATTTTTTAATCTAAAAACAAATAATATAAAAGTAAAATTTAATTATCAAAAAAAATATCAAAATCCCTAAGGCAGAAATAATTAGACTCGGCCTCGTTAAACTGACATGGACACAGTTTCAACCGTTTTATAAAAACCAATTTTAATGATACAGTAATAAAACATTTGATCTTCATTCGTTACTTCTATAAAAAGAAGATACAGAACTTTAAATTCTTCATAATGTAAGCAAGGCTTGCGTCTTGTTATATATAGAAAATATCATATTCATTGAAGAGAAAATATGTTCAATTTTCATGAACTTGTAAGGGGGTCAGAGGTCATAGCGTGACCGATTCACAAAATATCTTATCTGCATGTATATGATACATTTCTGTTAACAGTAAAACTAGTTTTAGAACTTCTATGTTACGTTTTAAATCGGAAAGTCTTTAAATTTTTGTAAATTAAACAGGCAATAACTCCGCTTTTGACGTGCAATATAAAGAGCTCATAATATAGTAAGTTTATTCGCATAAGCGATTATTGCTTTTTTCAATATAAACAGAAATGTACTGAATTGAACTACAAAAGATCAATGTAAATATTCAAATGATGGAGGGAGGTGATGTTTCAAGACCTAACAACTTCTAGGTCATCATACGTCACAACATTGCAATGCAGTTTTACTCAAAATATATATTGTCTCAAATGTAATTATGAGTAATAAACAATCATGTCAAAAACTTCACAGGTAAATGAACTTGTTTTTCTTACATGACCAAATCTACAGAGAACCCCTTACGCTCTACCGGATTTGATCATGTGATCAACCCAGTTCATTTCCCGGAGAACGTTTTAAAAGCTGTTCTTTTCTTAAATGATAAATAGGAAAGGAATGGTTGCAAATCGCTTGGATTCCTCTCGGTGTTTTATTAGTGTTGAAGAATCTGGAACGTAAGTAAACGCTTGACAAGCAGTTACTAATATAAAAGACAAGATCAATTCCAAATCAATGACATATTTCAATGTTTCAAGACTCATTGAAATATTTATTTCGGCTTTTGTTTCATAAAAAAGGATATAAAAAGACCAATGTAAAGTATAATGAATTCTACGAATATTTTCGGCATTTTACTGTAAATGGAGATTTTGTTACTGACTGTTTCGTGTATCTTGCTTTCAATTATGCTAATTCTAATCCATTTTTTTTCAATAAATCCCCAGAAACGCAGACGGTTCAAGATATGAGAGGAAAGTTGCCTACCATGGACCTCCTGGCGGCTTTTCAAGGTAACCCTTTCACGTTTTCTTTGATAAATTTGTAATCATGGTCAAGTTTCATTTTACATGCCATTGGATCATTTTTATTGTTATAGAACGTAAGTTGCAATATTCAAAGAGTCGATTTTTTTTCACATAAAATAATAGTATAGTAAATATTTCATACGAACAAAAAAGTTATGCATATGGCGTGAAAATCATCCTCAGAGATATATTTGCAAATATGGCCATTAATCACACCTTAATCTAAATTCATTGTGACATATATGAAGAAAATCTGTAAATACTTACACTTATCAATTCAACAAGGAATGAACCAGAACAAAATTTTTGTTCTTTTGCGAAAGTGGGGGAGTGGGGGGGCATTACATCTCATTCGTCTTTCAGTCTGTCAATTTTAATTATGAATGGGTCACTACTTTCCTTGGTCTTAAATTTTGCATTTAGATAGATAGGGGTTTCATGTCTCACATTTACATCATCTCTGATAAAAACTTTCCAAATCAACTATGATATCTAAACCAATGACCTTGACCATTGGCCTCATGAGCTAGGAGATTGTCTTACTTTTGAAAACATCAAAATTGTAGTAACTTTTAAATGAGATATGAAAGGAATTTGTATTGACGTGGCATTGTATGTAACAAGATCCTATCGAATGTTATATGGTTTTTCACTTAATACTACAACTACTTATAATAATAAAACTTTGTTGAAAGAAGGTAACCTAGTTAGTGCATGCACTATTAGTACCCGGGACCATCGATTACAAAGATATACAAGATGCAATTAAATTTTCTGGTAATATGTACAGATAACTAACAATGACAAGCATTGTAGATAAAATGTCACAATCTTATTGTGCTCAAAGAATTGTGCAACAGTTGATGATGTAGTTTTCTATTTATACATTTAAAAAATGCTAGAAGAGCTTGAGAGAGTCAAAGGTGTTGGGGAAGTTTATTACATAGATGCACTCAAGAGTACTGAAAAGAGGTTTTGAATACGTTTATACAAAATTTTCGCAATCTAAGACCATAATAAGTTTCAGATCGCAGGAGATGTGAAATCTAAATAAAATACGAGGTTTGTTCAAAAAGTTCGTAGACTAGCGCAATAGAATTTAAACCGCTAAAGATACATCAATGAATTTTTCAATGTTAAAGGAGGCTAGGGGATCAACAAATTATTTTTCTTTAACCACCAGATATAACTTAAATTTTGGGATATGATATCTTAAGCTGTCAACTATCATTTGGCAAAGAAAAATTTCGTAAATTTTATTTTTAAAATATGATCATTTTATTATATCTTTATATGGAGCTCTTCTTTTAAAGGAGATCAAAATAGTCTAAAAATGGTCACAACCACCCAGCCCCTTTAATAAACATGATCTTTTTTATTGATTAAGTTAACTATACATCTTTTATTTCATTTCTTAATAAATCATTGATGTTTTTGATAGTAAAGGTACGTCCATGCGGCGAAACCTCTAAAATTACGTTTTTCTACCTAAGTGTGATTGAGATATTTTTTATATGGGCATTTGTCTTCCAAAAATCCCGTTAATTAACTTATGTATTATGATACAATTGCACCATAAAATTTGCGATTTGTACCCCATTGTAAAGGAGTATTTTACTTAAGTATAGTAGCGTGGTCCCTTTTTACACCCTTCGTTCACTGGTTAGATATAAGCAAATGATATTTTGTTTATTTTTGTTGTGTATAACAAAGTACTTCTAATTAAAGCATTGTATAGTCATAACAAATGATTAAGCATTTCAAAAAGTAAATGCCAGTTTAAACACCTCTCACACCAAAAAAAAGATGCCGGAACGTTTTCCCTCCTAAGACTACGGTTTCTCTTTGATATGGAAATGAGCGGAGACATTTAGATTTGATATTATAAAAAGAATATTCTTGATATTTGATAATTTCCTTTCAAAGACGAATTATATGTTCAAGATACACAATCAACTACAAATACAATTTTCTATTTACAAAACTTGAGCAATGAATCACAATAACAAGATTAACGAACAAGTCCATGCTGACTGATATAAAACTTAGTACGTTTCATATGAGAGCTAGCAAGCACGTTTTTACTGCGGGCATTTACCCGTAACGACACAAATCCCAAATCCACGTGGCTTGTTATGATTCTAAGCAGGTCATAAACAGGTCGAGACCACTACCCTTATATGGAAGGTAATTTTCAACACGTGACAATATCTTCCCGTTCGCCAATCAGGTGAATGAGTCCCAAGCATGACACTTTACTACGTGTTTACGATTTAATAGCGACACGTGGTTTTCGTTAGTTTTTGCACAATATTCACTTCGTCACCTGGAAAACCGTAGAGCTTCTTTCTCACTTTTTAAGTCCGAAATTGAAAGATTACATTCTCAAGACATTGCTCCATGCTCACATTTAATATTGGAGTTGTTTTAATAGGATATATAGTTGCTTCGAAAGTTCGAATAATGTGCAAACGCTTTGATGTTTGCATGTACATTAAAATTTTTTGATAATTATAAGGGGCTAAACAATAATAGCGCACCTTGTACTGCTGTCTAAAACTATGTCCACGTATATCACGTAAAAAAAATCCACGCTTTATCGACACGATAGCACCTTCATGTACGAGGGGGTATCAAAAAGTTGGTGGACTGGCGCCATAAAATTAAAACCGCGATGAATTTTAAAACATCTGGTAAGCATAATCTTTTCTATCTATAGAATAAACCGCAAATCATATATTCTATTTTTAAATAAATTTATTAAATTAGTAATGTTTTTGTAAGCTATGGTATATCCAGGCGGCGCAACCTCGAATACGACGTTTTTTCGACCGAAGTGTAACTGAGAAAAACTATTTTGATATGGACATTTTACATCCAAATATACCGTTAATTCAGGTATACTATTGCTTCATAAAATATGAAATTTTAACCTCATTTTCACCTTATTCTGAAAGTTTTACGAAAAATTATCGTAATTCTGACATGGAGTGTCAAAACAAATAAGTCTTTTAAAATGACGTCAAAAGGGGAAGGGGTTTCATTTTCCAACATTCTATAAAGTTTGGGCTCTGAAAAAAGTGGTATAGACCTAGGAAATATTTAAACTGGCTATGGAGAAATTAAATGCATCCAGGGTACTTGTTTTTTTTTAAATGCCAAATGAGATTCAGAGAGAAAAGGGATGCATAGTTAATGTCGATTTGCAGTCAAGGTGTGAAAAATCAATCACGTTAAAAAATGACGTTGATAATATGTTGTAGATATTAAACTCCCAAAAGCAAAATATGCTGACTTAATCGAGCAAGAATCTCTACCAATGTATAAATCCATTTGCAATATTACGATATATTCATTGAAAGCAACGGTTCATGACATTGTAAAGTCATATAAATAAGGCGGGTTTAAGTCTTGACTCAGCTCCAGGGAATCTTATCAAAATAAATGTATGAGGTAGAAGAAGGGTACATTGAAAAATAATGACGTTGTCGGACGTCATGAAACTAAACGGCGACGGCGGGGGGTAATCATAGAATGTCGTTTTAATTTCATCATATTTAAGCACATAATGAACGAATCAAGCTAAAATTTTCAACATTTCTTTATTTTTTGTTGTTTAATGTCCCTTATAAATTTTGAAAGTACAGACCCTGAGACGTGCTACTACCCCACACGCTCGCTGCACGAACGGTACACGAACGCTACACGGTTTGCACGAAACGCTGCAGGGTTTACACGACACGCTACACGGTTTGCACGAAACGCTACACGGTTTACACGAAACGCTTTGCACGAAATGCTGCACGGTTTACACGAAAGGCTGCACGAAACGCTTTGTACACGTTTCTCACACGCTTTGTACACGATTCCCGCACGTTTTGGCCTCGGTTCGGATTTTCTACTCGGAATATATCGGGCATTATTACGGTTTTATCATTAATTAAATGGAAATCTTTCACAAACCCACATTTAGCAGCTGTTTGAATTAAATATCAGTACAGTAGTATTATATAAACCGATAGAAATTTTTAATACTCCGACAGTTGTAATTAATTAATAAATAATTGTCATTTCGTATTTATTTATTTATTTACATGTATTTATCCAACTGTTTAAAAACGAAATGCCGATATCATGAATGACTGTTTGATAAAATACATTTTTTTTTATATATTAGTCATTCATTTCAATGAAATGTTTTTACGAGTATAATTTAATAAATTAAATACAAATTCGATTTCTTACTGCAGGGATATGAACTCATTGATATTAGATAATATTGATTATATTGTGTTTGATTTCCGTAGGCGGATTATTTTTGTTGATTTTGATTTACATGTAGTAATAAAATTTGCCTATGTACTCTACTAACGATTATTGATACATTTTTAAAGATTTTTTTTCAATCTAACGTAAGCATTATCTATAGAAGGGAAACCGGTAAACGGAGGGGGAGGGGTGTTAAATGTGATGTCGTAATATATTTTTATTCTCTTTCTCTTTTTACATGAAACTTATCAAATAACATCAGTATACCCATCATACTGTAAAATCCTTCATTTCAAAACCCGACTAAACGTATATATTTATATGTACATTAATTAATAGTCGCGGCATTTGACTATACATTGTACATACAATGTAGGTCG